GGGGGGGGGGGGGACTGGTTTATTTAAAGATCTTGCAGTGTTGCTAGTGGCCTCCAGGGGCACTAAACCTAGAAATTACAGGTCTAGCGCCCCTAGTGGCTTAAAGTTACAGTGTTGCTTTAATTAAATTTTGTTTTTAGTTTTCATTTAGGTTATATTTTATGATAAAAGTGTGAAATGAATTCAGAAAAACATGAAATCTTCTGTAAGCACATTTTTAAAGCTGTATTTTTACTATTATTCTAATTCTGGTATATGGAGTAAACTTTGCTCCATTATTGTCATCTTTTGTAACTAAAAAAAGGCAATGGAGAAATTAACGTTTATAACATTTTTTAGTAAAAAAAAAAAAAAGGTTTTCAGAGTAATTATCTATATTTTCACATTATTGTTTTAAATCTGTTTTTGCTTGATTTAAAATAAATAATTTTTTTTTACAGATTATATGTTTTCCCCAATTTTTTTCCACATATTTCGTTTGATTGTGTTAAAGAAATAAAAGTTACTATTAATAGTTTATCAGAAAAGTTGGGCTTAGTTTATCCCTATTAGTTAAAATAAAACCCTGATTTTCTGTAAAAGATGCAGCCAGATGTCCGAAAGCTTCATAAACAAATATTTACTGATACAGTTAGGAATATTCATACAGCAATGTAAAGCTACCATAATGCACATACTTATATACTTATGAATCATAATGTGCACTGGATGGATTTTTAATAAATAGCTCAACACAACGTCTGTACACAGAAACATTTTCCCCCATAATCCATAGAAATCTACTCATACCGGTACAACATTAAGTCCCATCGATTTACGAGACAAATTTTCCAAAATAAATCTGAAATTCTTCTCCTTTCTTCATGTCTGTCTTCAAAATAAACACAAAGAACCACTGAATTATTTACAGCGTCCCAAAACATGAAACTCGGGAAAAAAGGCACGACCGTCTTTACAACATGTACAAAAGAAAAGCGTTGGTCATTGGGGGGGGGGGGTGATTGCACGTAACAACATCAGCATCTGTGCTTTGGCAGGAGGACAAACCCCTGAAGTGTTTTCAGTCTTACAAAGTGACGAGAGTTACAAAAAAAAAAAAAAAAGAAGAAGAAGAGGGTCTCAGGTGGCGATGACGAGTCTGTCTTCGTCGTCGCTCGACGCCTCGTTGTATTCGTCGATCAGCGTCTGACGGCTGGTGGCTGTCGGTCTGGGTGCGGGGTCCGCCGGCGGCGGCTCCTGGCGCCACGGAGCTGCTGGAAGCTGCAGGGGGGATTTCTTCCCCTCCTCCTTCTCCACAGTCTGTGCGGGTCCCGCGGCTCCCCCCGCCGCCGTGCCGCCGTGCTCAGTCCGCGGCGGCTCGGCGCTGCCCTGCCAGTCTGAGGAGCCCTGCAGAGGGCTGAGGGCCGACAGGGGGCTGAGGGAGGGGATGATGGCTGGCAGAGCGATGTTCACTATCTGCAGACCCGGCACCGCGTTCTGGGAGCCGCTCTGGGGGCCCTGGTTTGGCGTCAGGACCTGCAGGCCCAGGGCGGCGTTCAGCGTCAGCTGGGTGTTGGTGAGCCCCATCAGGTTGAGGGTCTCCAGCCCGACCGGCTGAATGGTCTGGGCCTGCAGGCCCGTCACCTGGCCCAGTGGGAAGCATGGCACCACGCTGCTGATGGGGGGCTGAGTCTGCAGGTTCTCCGGGTGCGGAGGGGAGGTCGCCGGGGGCAACGGGCTGGAGTTTCGGTGGATGACGCCCACAGCTGGGATGGTCAGCTGGACGGGCCCCGTCTGGATGGGGACGAAAGCCGTCATTCCAGCCGGAACCAGCTGGATCCCTCCGACCGGCACCATGCTGTAGGGGGAGCGGGTGGGCTGCTGGGAGTGCAGCGGCAGATGGCTGAACAGGTGCGTTTCCGCTCCGGCAGGTGGGGGCGCCGCCTGCAGGGGGAGCTGAGGCGCGTAGGACGTCTGGGTGCCGCGGTCCACCGGCGTGCCGGACTCACCGGTCGCTGCAGGAGCAGCTCCAGAATCCTGTGGAGAAAGAAGCAGCGTCAGCAGTGAAGTTCAGAGCTTTATGAGGTCACTGGGGACGAGAGGTACGGAGGGAATTCTATCCCAATATTGTAGCAGAAAAAAAAAAGGTAAAGTCGTCCAGAAATTAAGTTACTTTGCAGTTTTTTTTATTTCTTCATATCCATATATATATATATATATATATATATATATACATATATGTATTAAAAACACATTTTAAAAACTATTTTTTCAAATGTTATGTATTTTTATCTTTGTATTTTATTTTTTCAATTTTCTTTTACAGATTATACCTTTTTGATAGTTTTAAGAATTGCTTTCCTTTCAAACTGAGTTCCTCAGATCACATTCTCTTCACATTGAGCCCAATCTAACGCTC